AAAAATAACACACACACACAAACAGAACTAGTTTATCAATTGTGAAACTATGTTTATCTCATTTTTGTGAATTTGGCGTGACAAACGGAGCATCTCCTTGCGCAGAGCTAAAAATAAAAATTAATCAAGACAGCATACAACATCGATCCCGATGCAATATCCTTCACTTCCGTTTCGCACAAGTAAAAAATAACACACATACAAATACAACTAAGGGGAAACTTACCAAAAACAAGTTCGTACAAGGATTTTTTGCCTTATTTCTTTATAATAAATTCAAGCTACCATGAATTTGACTTATTACATAGAAGTCTTGTTTGCACTTTCAGATAATTGAGTTTTATTGTATTTAGATAAAGTGGTTCGATAAACATTATTTTTGTGATGAATAATGTAGGACCCGTTACTTCGAACGTAATGCATTTTAGTCTTGTTAACCTTATGCTGTTTCAAAGCGGTTTTAACCCCACTCTTGCCTTGAGGCGCACCATACTAGTCAAGACAGTCGGCAGCTGGACGCTTCCCAAGTTTCGCCTGTAGTACAGAACAAAAACTGCACTTTTCCCTGATTGAATAATAGTCATGCTAATTAACATCTCACACCTAAATATCTGGCGGTTGCCAAATAAATCCAGATAAATACCTAGCGCCTACCATTAAATTATATTTGGTGGCCGCCAGCCAAATTTAAAAAAAAGTCTCTGCAGTCTCCAAGAATGAACAGGCAAAATCTTGCTTGTCTACAAACACCCCCATCCCCTTTAAACTTGATTTGCAGGGGGGAAATGTTTATAAATGACAGACAGACAGTCAACGGTCAACCTACATGTACCATCACAGAAGCCACTGACCTTAAACCACTAGAGCTAAAGAAACAAATACGTTTTAATGCGGTTATAAATACATGTAGTACATATAGGTAATTACTGTGGCTTTATGGTCTTGTTTATTGTGTCTGTACATGCTCTCAATTAATTAAAGACAAGAAAAACTTCAAGAGATAATATATCTGATTTATCTATTATACTCAATTCATACACTTCATGACATACACACACAAAGAATATAAGCGAATTACACCTCCAAATTACCTAAGTTACACACTTGAGAAAGATTAATAGAGAATTGCATTTATCTTTGAATCTTAAAACTTAACAGCTTTATTTACTAAAAATAGTTTAAAACTTTCCCCCAAAAAAATAATTGAATGATTTTATTTATTTTTGTATTCAATATTGCCAAAGAAAAAAAATCAAGGGTGTAACTTGCTTATAAGTAACAAGCATTATGTAGAGAATCAACATTTTAATGTCTGAAGAACTTCAGAAGTTACTGTACAAGATGTTTCTGCTCAGAGTTATAAATAAAACTTTTCTGTACAAAGAAAAAACCCTTTCTTTATTCCAAATGAATCAATTCCAAAGATAAATTCTTTAAAAAATGAAAATCAGTTTTGTGTGTACATTTTTGCATGGGGCAAAACAGTGACAAGCCTCCATATATTCTTAACACTTCAACAAAGACAATGGCATCCAGACTAATAAATAGATATAAAAAAAATCACTCAACAACTGCCAGGCATGGACAAACCATTGCTTTCTCAAACTACAGCCTCTAACTTCTAAAATAAAAGAGCTAAAATACATTTTTCTTTTTAAGGGGGGGGGGGGCTTTTACAATTAAGAATATGAATCATTATGTCATCAAATAGCAAATGAATAAATTTGGAAGATTGACCATTGTTAGTTCTTCAGGATCCTTATAATGTCAATTGATATTCTGGAATATTAAAAAGTTCATAGCCATTATTAATGGGTAAAGATTGGCTTTTTCTTTTAATGCTGTAGTCAAAATAAGCTTGGTTTGTGACCACCCTAACAAGAACAACAAAGGATGATAAAACCTTTCATATTTCTATATATCCACCTCATTCAAGCTGTGTTTTGCTGCCTTGAATCAGTAACAGTTTGGTTTTATTATGAACACGAAATTTCATACTGTTCTTCTATATAAAATACCTCTTATTTTCCGAATCATTCAAATTCTCAGTTGAAAACATTTTTGTCTATCCTTACAAACAAGTTTCCAGAAACGTATAAATATATAGAGTCATCACAAATCTTTTCTAACATATAGCAATTCCTCCACATTCCAACCCTTTCTCAACCTTCATTTTATGTACTGAATTAACAACAATTAACAGCATTATGCAGAATATTAGTTACAATCTAAAGAAAACACAGAGACACACCAAAAGAAATCTTCTCTACCAAAAAGGATGCTTTGTGCACAATATACAATGTGTTTCAGCAAGTTGTGACAGAAATATGCTCAATGTGGTTAATTTACATAGATAAAATGCCATTTTCATACTATGAAACAATTCTAGATGTTCACATTTTTTGTATCAACAGCTATTAAATATACAAAACTCTCATATCTACCCAAACAAACCATGAAGTCCTAAAATTCTATCATTGTAATGAAAATTCGAAATTTTCCTTTAATTTTCTAGCAATCTTGGATTTCCCATTTTTAAATGACAGCTAGGGAAGAGATATGATTAATGTTATCTACATTTTATCATTTTTAAAATCTTACTTTAAATATAAGTAATTTTTTGCTGGTGTGTCTTTTTAAAAAGGAGTTCACTCTATCCATTTTGCAAATTATGCAAGTTAAATAGATTTCTTATCAGTAATTAAATTCACAGTGAAAAAGCTGTTATTTTTTTTTAGAACAAGATATACCATCTTTTCCTCGAATCATGAAAAAGAGCAAATATATATCAAATTTTCTTTTTCTTACAGAATCCAGGCGAAAATATAATAAGAGTAATCAACCAGAAATAAGGATATATATATATAAATCTATGTCTTACAGACAAACAGTCTTATTTAAGTCCACACATTCTTAAATATGCTCTTAACATCTTGCATAAAATGACAGAATATGCCACACCTCTCTTTGACAGTATTAATACATAACACTAATAGATCAGCAAACTCACTCTGTACATCTGACACATACATTGACACATATAGCTACTATTCTGTACACCTTAGACATCTTAAAAAATATTTATCTCATAAATTAAACAGAAAAAACTATAAACTAAAACATAGACATTTATAAGATCCGAAAAATCCAAAAATTTCAGAAATGATAGTTGCCCAAATATATATATATAAACTCATGAGGCTAATCTATTATACTTACATGTAATTTATTAACAAGATGCATTTTTAAAAGTTATCAACCGTGTACAATTCAAAATACCAGGAAAAGATGGAGACCAAACACTATCTACTAATCACACTACAAGAAGCACAAGCAATCTTCACACCTATTTCAACAATGCACAGTGATGAGTCATGAATTAATATATAAAACAATCTAACAATTCATTATTTTTCAATTCATCCCCATTCTTCAATAATTTTGTGATTCAGTTGTAACATGATTTGAATATGAGCCTCTTTCTCAATGCAAGGCTTCTCATTTTTTCATGATCACTGATTTGTTTCTACAATATGCAACTGCAACAGACATAGAAAATTATTGTGCACAATCATTGCATCGTGTCTATTCATCTGTCTACCAAAATACAGAACATGTTCTCATTCCTCAATTAACAGCCGAACTATGGCACAATTTGAGTTGTTATTAAAAGTAATCAGCCCACTTATGTTTGTTCACTTAAACAAATAATCAAATTCATTTCCCTGGTGGTTAAAAATAAGTTTTTTTTTTAAACATGATTTATAGAAAAACGTGTTAGTACATGATATCTGCACTACATGTATTCATTATTTGGACTAAAATGACTTTTAAAAGCCTTTACATGCAATTTTGAATATTATAAACTATAATAACAATCAAATGTTTTGAATATCTCATTCTTGGTTAGTGTAGCCATTTCATTATATAATGTCAAAAAATTAACATCCTTTAAAAATACAAAAAATTCAAATCTGGAATTCAAACACCCCGAGTTCGAAAAAATTACAGTAGTTTATATCACAAGTAGGTTCCAGACATGCAGTATGATCTTAAGTTCTGAACAAGAAGAAATAAACAGATCATTAGGAATGGGTATTGCAAAAATTTTGTACTCAAGTATCATGATATATATCAATTCTTCCCCCAAAATATCACGATAATATTTGTTACACATTTTCATATGCAATTTTTAATTAGTTAAGATATGTGACCACTTGACATCACATGTATGCTTTATTGAGAGGGTTTCAAGTAACATTGTTATAATTTAAAGCATGTCTGAATGTAAGAATGTTGAAGTCCACATTTTTATACCGCTGGATGGTAATGTAAAGTATTTTTGTTGTAGGTTCCATCAGATTGATAAATTCCAGAATTTTTATTTTTGTTACCAATTCTTTTTTTCTGTATCATCATCAATAAAAAAGACTCCACAAGTGAAATCCAAATATATCAAAAAAAGATAAAATCTCACATTCCTACAGTCACCATTATATTAAGTATTCTCTAGTAAATTAATTTTTGTGACTGGTTTCTACCTTTCTACTGCATTTCAGAATCTGATAACTGTACTTCAGTAAAAACCTGTCAGGAAAAAAATATTTCACTTGGGCATTTTCAGAATGTTGTGGTCTGCTTATTTCTTCCATTCTTAAACTTTTTTAAAAATTTGTTAACTTTCCACTCAGAACCGTTCCAAAGTAAGGTGAATCCTTGAGATGTTAAAATTTGCATGTAAACCAGTATCATATTACAGAAATAACAGGGTCCAATGTGCTGTAAAAAACCTTGCTAGAATTTATACCATGTTCATGACTACTAAAATCTTTTTAAATAACAATTAAAGCAGATGTCAAAGTCACATCCTAAATATTACCTTGAAACTTTTGTATGAAAAAATCCTTTTCCTATTTTCATATATATACAAAATCCTTTTCCTATTTTCATGTATATACATGTATACCACTTTTCCAAGAATAATGTCAATTTTCTTTCACTGAATAATACAAAGTATTTCTACATCATTCAAACCAGATAGTTCTTTTCCATTCAATAAATTTCCAAAACAATATAAGGGAAATAACTCAAATGTAATATTTCATAGAATGGGTTAGGTGAGTTCACTGGCATCGAAAAAAGTACACTCTTGTCATTCAAATGCAGTATTTACAAGATGTTTAAATTACTTACATTACTGATCATTTATCAATCTTAATATACATCATTAATCATCTAGATTGTCGCTGTGAATGAAATTGAATCACATCACTTGCAATTAAAGTATTGTTACAACATCACCAATGTTGCAGATATTGAAATATTTCTTCCACATCTTTCAACATGTGTTTTGTCGGATCATATGCATGTACTGGAGTTTGATAAATGACCCTTCTTCCAAACCTAACTTTATCATACACATCTATTTTCCCTAACAATCACCTAATTAATGATTTATTAACAGAATGATTCACATTCCTATCAATCATACACCTTGTTAATTCCATGCACCACTGGGTTTACTCTGGGGTGTTCCCCAGCCACCCACCCCTGGGCTGCCACCTGCCTCTGATGCTGATACTTGAGAACTTCCCCACCCTAGAAAACTGTTGTTATTCGGAATAGGTGGTGCGGCCCCCATTGTGCCCCCTGAACCGCTGCCTATACTACCAAAACTTTGGACACTGGCTTGACTTGAGGTTTCTCCTCCTGTTATAGTGGTGGACACAGGAGTGACATTTCCTCCAACAGGGGGGTTATTGCCCTGACTCACAAGACCAACAGGGCCCCACCCACCCTGACCACTTAGCATGGCCTGAGCAGCAGCAAGCATCGCTGGGTTAAACTGTAGGGCCCCAAGGTTTAGATTACCAAGTCCTAGATTGTTGGGCAGACTTCCCTGAGCCATGGGTGTTCCTTGGTTATGCATGGGTTGAGTGGTTCCTCTGGGTCCTTGGCTCCATGGGTTGGGAGGGTAGGCTTGTGTGTAGCCCAGCTGGTGGGGGCTGGTTGATTTTTTGTCATTGTGACGGTCATAGTTCTTTGGTGCAGCACTGCTGATGTGAACACTTGCACCCTTGATGATGTGATCCTCTCCGCACAAATTCTGTGAAACCTCTGGGTCAGCAAAAGTAACAAATGCAAAAGCTCGGAAGGGCTTGGGAATAAAGACATCAACCACTTCTCCATACTTGCCAAAATAATTTCGCAAATCTTCTGCAGTCATATCCTCTGTACATCTTCCCACAAACACTTTTCTATTCATGATTTGTTGGGCTCCTTCCTACAGACAAATTTTTCATAAAATGCATAGCAATCAAACATTTCTTCTCTTGTTCATATTACAGGCATTTCTAAAAATTAACTAAAAGCAATTTTAAAATATTATAAAGTGGGTACTGTGAAATTATACATTGTAAATATTCACCATTACTTATCATTTTAATTGGTCATACAGCTTTTCATGTTTAACTGAAATACATGTACCTGTAGGTCAGCTTACCTTTGAGTTTGGAATACGAACATCACACCATCTACCATCAATCATATGACGTTGTGACATACATTTGAATTGGGAGTCATAATCAGCAAATCGTATGAACCCAAAGCCTTTAGACTGCCGTGTCTTCGGGTCAACTTTAACCTGTAACGAGTGTAAATGACTCCATCTCTAACTTTGTATCATTGCTATGGAACCAATGTACAATACATAGATTCCTTATTTTTCGCGAGTACTTTTTATCGCAAATTGGCTCTTAATCGTCAATTCGTGAGAATTATAATTTGCGAATGGACGACTGACCAACAGATTTTACAAAGATTTCAGCACCATAAAAATAAAAGCGAGTAAGATTTTTTTGCGAATGATGCTTCTCGCGAAATTACGCGGAAATTAATTCCTTGATTATAATTAGGAATCTACAGTATAAGGTACATGATCATGCACTTAAATGCTAGATTCATGTATTTCTATACATTTATTCTTTTCTTTACCTGCTGCCAAAAAATTTTAATAAAATTTTAAATATGAATACATAAACACACAACAAACACCCATATTAAGTTAGATTGCATATAATTAATATAAATAAGGAAGTCACAAAAAAGAAGTGTATAATTTATCTTATCTACAATACAATTACTCGTGATTACTGTTAGAATTTAGATAGGGGTTAATTCAAAAATTGAAAATTTGGAAAATTTCAATTTAGCATATTATTTTTTCCTTCAATTTGCACATTTAACTGTCAATTACAATGTATTTATTGGAGAAAAAAAAAGTAAGAAAAAAAAATTTAATACTGAATACTGTATATGCAGAAAAGTCTCCAAGGTGATAATAGAATAATATAAACATATTAAACAGCTTGTAGTATTTATTTATCATATACCAGTATGTCAAATATTCATGTGATTTAAAATAAACACTCTAAAGTCATTAAAGATTTTTTGTGTATGTACAATGTATATGACTTTTCGCTTTGAAATCTAAAACTCAGTAAAAGAGGGAATTTCTGGTTATGTTAAAAATCACAATTCAACAAATGTATTACTTGTTCATATTTCAATAAAATCAATAGTTTACAAAACATAAAAATGTTTTATTTCAAGTTTGATATGCAGTTTTGCATGCCAGTCTGATACATGAATATTAGTAACATGATATGCATTTTCAAACGAGTCATTGATATGATGATATTACACATCATGTGTACAGCACAGTGTGTATTTACATCTGAGTATATGATAAAATTAGCATAACACTGCTCGATCTTTACCCTCCTAAACTACATACACATAGAATTCCTGATTCTAATCAAATAAAAAGAAGTTATCAGACAAAATCCTTATCATGATATTATAGTTTTTCATAGAAGAATCTCATCTGATAGATAATTTCCAAGCAAATAATTAATCTCATCTGATAGATAATTTCCATGAAAATAATTAACAATTTTTATAAATTCTATATATTTATCAAATAATGAAATTGATTTTTAAGGGAAGGGTCAATTGACCGTGAAGTAAATCTTTTTTGCTAAATCTTAAAATTTTATAAAACAAATCAAAATATTTATCATGATTATTTAGATAATTAATTAATGGAGAATGACATGCAGACATGAGCATACCTGAACCATTAAGAGTTCCCCAAATTGTGAAAAATATTTTCGCAAATCTTCTTCAGTGCTTTTCCATGGGAGGCCGAGCACAATTAAGTCACTGCAGCGCTGTCTCTCATACTTTTTAGACTTGTAATGTCCACCATCTTGTTCGTCAGGACTACTGGTGGACGCATTACTTCCTGATGCTGTACTTCCTGCTTTCTTCTTGTTTTCTGCTAAAATTAATTACAAACAGAATAAAAACATACACAATTTTTTTTTTTATCATCCTGAATACATCAAATATTTGAGAAAAATTTTTAATTACTTCTGAAATTGTTTCAAGATTCTTTAATTCAGTTCAACTAATTTAAATGTGAATGAATGAATACATAATTGTATACTAATATAACTATAAGGCCTAAACTAATTAAAAACGAAATAAATAAAAAGAACAGATTAATTACTTATATTGCAATATTTAACTCATGGGCATCAATTTATTAAATGCATGTCCTTTTGGGAAAAAAATGCTTAGAGTTATCTGCCCCTATCTGTCAAATTCAAATTCTGGTATAACCTTATTTTGTTTGCATTTTTCGGTGTTAGAAAGTGTTTAAAGAGATGTCTAATGTGTGCATTCTTAAATATTAATGATTAATCTATCAAAATTCAAAGATAAATTCTATTGTAAAGTAAACTTTCTGTCACAAATCAGGAAATAAATTCGTAGCGTCTGCTCCGCGTCATGTATTGCATGAAATTGTACGTCCAATATTCGACCACTTACTCTTGGGAAACACCGCAACATAAATCCTATTTGACCAGTCAACATCCGGCGGATACAGTCGACCGTCTGCCAGTCGTATTCCGCGCATAGAGCCCGTGTCTGGGTTGCGATATTTTAACCCACAAGCTCCGGGGAACTGAGCAGACAGTGTTGACAGCAGCAGAGTGCCGTCCTCCTCGCTCGGCACTTCCATCGGCTCCTCCCCTTCTTCCTCGGCCACCTGAATGTACTGACTCATGTTTTAAATGATTTATATCACCTGTCGTGGTAAAACCTCTCTAAATAAGCCATATATTCAAGCTACCCGCCGTGGTCCCGTTCTTAAGTGCGTCGTTCAAGATGGCGGCCTCTGTTGACAATTTTCTTTCGAGCGCAGCGCCATCTTTTATCTGACCTACATACTTGCACCGACTTACCTTCCCTTGATCCGCGCCGCTAGATGTACCTCGATTTTCTTAAACGTTGAATGTTAAAATATTTTGGTCCTGCTTACGCTTCTATTTGTAATATTTATGCTATCTTCAAAAGTTGCAACTGTCAAATGCCATTAATATTGTTAACAATACGCTGTTTCCCCTCCATGTAACTTGCTAGCTAATTATCAATTCAATACACATGTAGATCTTTTGGATTTTTTTTTAAAATTCTTTAAGTTTTATTATTTATTTGGGGATTTATTTGATTGTTGCACGTGTGTGTGTGTGTGAGTGAGGGAGAGGGTGTTTGTGTTTTGGGGGGATGGGGTGTTATTTTATTTTTGGTTTATTTATTCTTTTTTAAAATAATTTTTTCTTCATTTTTTACTTTTTAATTTCTTTTTGATTATTTTAAAGAGGTAATCACATGTTTCATTTGCAAAGCTGCACAACGAGGTTAACACTGCTCTGGGGAAAAGGGAGGGGTCCCATAAAAATTCTAAGATTGAAAAGAAAAAAAAAATATTTTTTCCGAATATAATTATTAATTTATTCTATTATCTTTTATGACTTGTAATGTAAAATGTATCTAAAACTTAAAACTTCATGTACTGTTACACTTTGACTTTAATATGTACATGTATGCAAATAGCAAAACAATGCGGATATATGTAATATATTTTGACTATATAGGTGAAAAAAAAGGTTTGATACAACCAGAAAATTATTTTTATTATTTAAAAAAAAACTGCAAATATAAGTATTATATTAAGTATAAATATACCATTGTTATCTGTATGTACATGTCAATTAAACTTCAATGTATATGTGATTAATTACATGTATGATTTTTCATTGTTGTTTCAAGGAAATATCATATCTATCATCCTCGCAAGTCAGCGAATCAACACGTTGCTGTGGGTCCAACTGCAACATGTATTCCTGGGTGTCGAGATGCACCACTAACTCATTGTCACAAACCACGGCCAAAATGTACGATCCTCTCCCCATACATGCAATATGAGTAGGAGATAGCTATAATATAAGCGGACTCCGAACCTTGGCTTGAGACGATACCGCCAACTAACTTAAAAAAACCCACACATATATTTATTTTATTTATTCATTTTATTTGACAAAACAAGTCCAGGCACGTATAGCATTGTTGTTTTAAGGGGGGGGGGGGGGGGGCAGGGGGGCCTGGCCAACACACACTTTTTTCCCCAACATTACCTTTACCATAGAAAATGTTCATTGAAAAGAAGGTTGGCTCCCCCACTTTTTACCATTGTATATTTTATTTTTTATTTATTTTTATTTCACCAATCAAGGGCCCTCTGGGGGCATATACAATTAAGAAACAACAATATAATCATGATTATAACAAAGCAAAATTGACTTGATCCTCACAAGTAAAAGTTCTCAGATTTGAAATACTGATATACAGGGTAGTTCACAATGAAATATAAGCATTACATATATAATATAATGATAATAATACAATATGAAGAAAAAAAAATAATAAGTATTAAATTAAATACCAAGCTCCCTTATACTGCAATGACCTGGCGGATAATAACAAACAAGTTATGTAATCGAATTATTATTATTAATAGTCATATTATTACAAAAAGTATATATTCCGGTATATATTTTGTTGGCCTGGCAGCACAAGGTACCAAGGGACGATGCCTGTTGAGCAGTCTGGAAAAAATGATAACCCAGGTTGCTTGGTCTTGTACCTTATGCAACCAGGACAGCTTGTTGGAGGAAATCTTAATTTGTTGGCCTGACTACTTGGGGCACCAAGGGACGGTGCCTATTGAAAAGTATGACTATACAGACTGTCAGTCTTGTACCCCAAGTAGCCAGGACAACTTGGGGGTATAGGGAATGTATATTCATAGGAAGGAATTATAGGAACCCCCCCCCCCCCCCCCCCACGAAGTAGGATTTTCGAGTTTGGGCAATTTTTATTTTTTTTTAGTTTTTTTTTTTTATTTAATGGAAAAATTTAAGTTGAATTTCAAGCTTGTTAATTTTGATATCCTTGATTTATTAACTGGCTGAAGAATGACAACTCTCCAATACCCTTTTCTTTGATATTTCTTATATTCCTAAAAACTAAATTCTTAAATTTTTTTTTTCAAACTATTCTCAAACATTTGTAGATAATTAGTTTATTAATTAGCATTTAAACCAAACACTTTATTCTTTGTACACGGATTTTCCAACATGTTTAATTCATTTCATGCAAGTTTTTCATCCTCTAAATATGCATGTTGTATACGTAAAAACAAGTGTGGGTTCATTTGGATCTGAAACAATTTTCTGTAATCTATATCAATATCTTAATAATATCTTATTTTTTCTTGATATAATGTGAAGTACACTAAAATATACTCTAATGCTAAATTTGGAGCTGTTTTATGGACCCCTAAAATGTCTTATAAGATGAAATTTTGATTTTTGTCAAATGGAGTTTTGTCGAAGTCATTTTTTAAAATCACTAATCACTTATATTTATTAAATTATTAGTAATGAAGATATAGTTAAGAAGAAATATTTTGTTAACAATTTTTTTTTATATGTGAGTGATTCTTGAACGTCTTTGTAAACAATATAGCATTTTTTTGGGGGGGGGGGCATAATTAATACGCGTGAAAGGTCTGAGTAAAGTTAAAACTACGAGAGTTACCGCTCTTTGTACCTGCGAACAGAATTCACTCAACCGCGACACGGGGTATTTTTGTTTCTTTGTTGTCATAGTCACTGACCGGAACCACTATGGTCGCGTATACACGTGTTTTTACTTGTACCCCCAATTCAACACTTCACCAAGATCATTACAAGTGCTAGGGTAAGAATTATGTCTTTAAATTTAAAGAAATTCAAAGTTAAAACTCATTGTGTATGTCCTATAAGCTATAAGGAATTTTCGAAAATTGATGTTGCATGCTATGGTTCCCGAAGAGCCCTTGTGATATCACATATTAGGATCATATTGCAATATATGCGCTTTTTGCATTATAACGAATAATGTCATTAATAAGCACGTTAATTAGGTCTAAAATATGCATGCGCATTTAGTATTTCAACATCCTGCTTTTCGTATATATAATTAAAGGGTAAAAACGGGGTCTTAATTTGTATCATATATAGAACATCATTGAACGATTGATTCTAACAAATTGAAAATCATGTCCGATGCATGATTGGTAAAGAATGTTTGTCGGCCTTGCGCTGGCTATACAGGCCTTACCATTAACCTGTCTGACTCAAAATGTAGAATTTGGTGACTCACTGGAAGCTAATACATCATAAAAATTCTTCAGTTTAGAAAAGTTTTGGGTAAGTCCCGGAAACGGTGGGTTATAATGTCTAGCCTATCGCTCACTCCAAAATGGAGACTGATTGCAGCCTCTGGCCAATCTAGCACTAGTTTATATTACCTGTTGTGACCAATTTACTTGCTTTACATTAATTCAATTATTTCCGCGTGTTTTGAACTTCTGTTATAAATTATTTTTTGTTGTTGTTATGTACAGTGATTTTGTGTTTTTTATATTGTTCTAGAGTATAATTGTTTGTTCAGTTGCCAATGAATTTAGTCAGAGAACCATAAGCAGTTGTAAGGAATGGTTGATAACTTAGAATGCAAACTCTGTAACTATCCTTTTCCTTCCTGAATCAGGACATAATTCAATATTTCAATCTTTTAAGGTGTTTTTCTTTATTTGTTTTCAATTTTATCTTTTTAAGTACAGATCCATTAAAGGATTAATCATTCCATTACGAGATATATTGCCCAATAAGGAGAGAGGGGGGGGGGGGGGGAGAGAGAAGGAGGTGGCTAGAGAAATAACTAGTAAAATGACATTTTGAACGTAATAATTTTTTATTTTATTTTGAACACATTTAGAAAACATTATTTGAGAATTACTTGAAACAGTTGCTTTAAACAGAGTGAGCAAATATTGCAATTTTATAATCTAACAACCAATCTTTATGATAACATGATGACTTTTATACATGTATCTAACTTTTCTATAGTCAACTTTCCTTACTTATGAAGCAATATACCTTCATCACCTGCATACGGCGTTTATATATCTCGGTTGATTCGATACGCAAGAGCATGCTCTACTTATGAACAATTTCTAAAACGAGGTAAATTATTGACAAGCAAGTTGATGAGACAAGAATATCAGCAGTCTCGTTTAAAGTCATCATTTCGTAATTTCTTTGGTCGATACAATGACCTTGTCAGCAAATTCAATTTATCATTGTGTCAAATGCTGACTGTCATTTTTCATAATGATTGTTAGTCCATTATTTATACACTGAATTGACAACGGATTTTCCCGTTATTTCCCAATTATGACAAGGAGCACATGGCAGGAGATGCTCACTCCACCATGGCACCTGATCCCACCTCTGATGTTTTGGAGGTCCGTGTTTGCTTTGCTCCTATGTTGTATTGTTTTATGGACTTTGATATTGAATACTGTTCGTTATCTCCATATCATTCACTATGAGACAAAGAACTATATGCGGTATATTGCATATGTTTGCCCCCACAAAAGTCAAATTTTGAAAACTTCCTGAAATGTACTGAATTCAATAAATTGTACGAGAAATATAAGTTAACAGAAAATATTATAGTTCCAGAGCAGTGTATTCACAATTTCTGTTTTTATGACGTCACAAACTAGTCCGATTTTATATCCTTTTTTAGAAAGAGGACAAAATGGACAAAATTTCAACAATTTAAGCTTTAGAATTTATAGAGCGCATGTGTGTTCAGGAACAATATTGACATATTTCATTGATATTATCATTCTACACATTATATCAAAATATTAATCCTGAACACACATGCGCTCGGTGACTTTTATTTAAAATATCGACGAAATATGTACATTTTTCTGCAAAATTCATAAAAAACTGAAATTAACGTCATATTTGTGACGTCATTACGTACATATGACGTCATTACTTATGAAATTATTCAGTGCTTTGAAGTCAGCATATACTCCCCTGTTTAAGGACTTAATTAAATATTACTCCATCAAAGTTTGATTTTGGGGGGCAAATGTTGGTTAATACCGCATATAGTTCTTTACAGAACAAGTAATTGAAGTATTATTGAATGTGTGCATTGCTTTAGCAGTGGCTCTTCGATCAATGAAGTATATAGATATGTACATATAAATACTACAATATTTAACCTTATACATACATGTAATTATACTTAATTTTTATTTAGTATCGACATACACATAAACAATAAAATATCTTCCTTTGTTAGACTGGGAATCAATGTTGCAGCTATTGCGGAAAAAAATTACACAACCCACTTACCATGCTTACGGGAAAAATTAATTCTGTCTGCAACAGAGTAACATAAATTCCCTTGAACAAAGCAAAGAAAGCAATTAATACATTGTTTAAAACTGAAATGACTATCAAACTGAAATGCCTTGAAGCAGACATTTTTGTGTTGAATTGTCAAGTGCATCAAAAAGTCTGTTTTTAATTTTATGAATGTATATTTTTTTCGATTTGTAATTAGAGAATGAATGAATGATTATCTAATTGTGTTTTTTGATATTGAATTCCCTTTTCACTAGAAAAAAAAAGAAGAGTTATTTTCACCATGTTTTTCTTTTTAGATGCCAAAATCCAAAAAATCCGCTCTGCCGCTCCACAACAAACAGAAAAATGTGAAAGCACCACCATCAATCTTCAGCCCGGGGACCCTCAGTCCTCGCAGTTTCCCCCTCAGTCCATACACAGTTCTGGGATCGTTTCTTCTTTGGATATTTATTGGACTAGCCGCCTATAAATGTCTCCTTTACTTTGGCACATACCGTTCTCTAGATTCAGATTTGATAGGATCGTGTGATGTTCATCTGAAAAAATCTTTGGAAGAGAATTTAAAAATCGCTGAAAACTACTCAAAAGGGGATGCTGGCCCTTACCTTAAGAGGATAGGCTCTCAGATGTATGGAGATACATTTGCTGGAACTCCTTCACCACAGGAATTACCCAACATTCCTCCCGTAGTTACAGCTGTATCGTCTGCTGAGTTCTTCCAAATACAAGGTCTCATCCGGGATATTGAAGATGTAAATAAGAGCGGCAAAATTCTAATAAAACTGATCATTTACGATCTAGGATTGTACAGAAATGAAAAAGAAATCGTGAGTATGAAGATTTACACTACTATTTATAACTCCTACGCACATGGTATTACGATCTAAAATGCTAAATTTTGGGGGGTTTTCTTACATGCACAGATGAAGAAACACTGTAACTGCGACGTGAGGTCATTTGATGCTGGACATTACCCGAATCACGTGGCCGTTTACTCGAATAAGGCGTACCAACCTATTATAATGCAGGTAATCCTTGTCTAGCCTGTCATCTTGCATATTTTTGACAACGTTATTTTAGTTGATGGCATGGTTGAACTTGAACAAGTTGAAAAAAGGACTGATATAATTCTAATAAATTATATTTGACATAAATATATTTTTTTTCATAAATTTACATATTTTGGTAGACTATCCTGGAAGAGTTTGGCTCAGTGATGTGGATTGACCCTTCAGTGAAGTTCAAAGAAGCCCGAGATCTGGGCATGCTCAGATTCCGCGGATCACACGACTTTTTCCTGTGGGAGGAGGAAATTTTTAATTCAATTGTGGCTTACACACATCCACAAATGTTTGAATTTTTGGGAGAAAAAAGATGCACGTTTGCGGAATACGGAATGATGGACACCAGTTCTATAGTTCTATACAGAACTAACATGACATGGATTGGTATTATGAAACCTTGGTTAAAATGTGCCCTTAATGCAAATTGTTTATCTCCCAGAGGTGCTAAGAATTCAGAATGTTTTCACTGGGAACGGCCAAAAATGACTGGATGTCATTGGTTTGTGCAATCTGCCTTCAGTATTGTCGTAAATAGAGTTTTCCAGTTTTCATCTCATATAGACAAATTATCAATCCCTCGCTTCACAACGAAAGAGGATGTAGAAATTATTTATCATTTCCCAGAACAGCCATGGACCTATAGCGAAATTGTTTTCGTGCTAATTCTTCCTGTAATGGTTTGTGGCGCATTGTTTTACATGTACCAAAGAAGGACACGGGCGCAAAGGGAACAGTACCTCAGGCGGTGATTAATGTTAAAAAAACTAATTGTGATGATTCAGGGAGTATGGCGTTTGAAAGGGGTGAGAAAAGTGCAGAAATTCGTTCTAGGAATGTATGTTTGAAGTCAGATTAATTTTACTTATAGTTTCCGGAACTGACAGTTTTTAGCTCTCTAGATTAGGATGCATTGATAAGGTGCCTGACGTTTTTCTATTTGTCTGTCTGTAAACACATTTAAATTAAATTATAAGACAAACGGCGTTGCAAATATATTCTTTCATTTTGGGTCCAATTGAAAAAAAGACACGGGACACAATTAGATTACATCCAGATACACAAATCTTAACATTTCTTGAATGTTAACAATATCGTATTGCCACAATTACTTAAAATAGTCATTTTGAAAATGCATAAAAAAAATCTTATTAAGCTTTCATTTAATTTCAACTAAGCCCATTAAAAAGGCACCAAGATACTAAATCCTAAAGTATTTCAGTGAAGCTACAGAGCTACAGTCCCAGCAGAGTTGTGTGAGAAAGAAAGAGCGAGGAATAAGTTCATGAACAAAAATTAATTTCCAGTACTTTGAATGCAAATATCTCCATGTTTTTATACATGTACATGTACTTATATTAATTGTTTATTTATAATGAAATGATCTCACTTATGACAAAAACGAAGTGCATCAGAGGATAATGTTGGTGCATGTGTTTATAATATAATCTAAGATAAAACAATGCTTTTGAACATGTTGGGAAAAAAACCCTTAGAAATGTTTTAATTTTACGTAACATAAGAAGTAGCAAATTACCTAAAGTAGATACTGTCTTGAGATCTATACTCGAGAAACACATTTGTTAATATCTATGTAGACAACTACATTGTTAGGATGATCCGTTCTTTTACATATGCTCCTTTGTAATGATCTCTCTTAGTTAATACTTTGAAAAAGTTATTTTATGACAAAACTGCTCAATATTTGATCGTATATGCATCGTATTTTGATATTTTTTAATGTTTGTATAATGCATTTAACATGCATGCTGTAATTCTTGATATTTCCAGAGTTGTTGGACTTGCATTATATTTATTACATCCGTTACATTATATTTATTACATCTGTTACATGAATTATAACTATTTACATGTATTTGAACTGAATACAATTAAAAAGTCAAAAATAACACACGACAGGTGGTTTTGTCTTTCTAGATACCATAAGTATCCCTTGCAACGGAGTTAGAAGGGGCAATCAGATTTTGGAACGCAATTCGCAATTCAAAAGTGAACTGCATTCTAGAACGCAGTTCGCAATTCAAATTCTAAACATAAGTTTGGGATCTGAAATTTTTGGGTTGGGATACTAGGGGCCAGATACAACTTCTATGAAAAAATGGTGATGGTACCATCTCTAGTTTCCGAGCTAGTTTTTAGCCCTACTATATAATACTATACGAATAAACATCGGGCTCGGGGACATCGAAGTCCCCTACTCTACTCTGGGGTCTGAAATTTTGGGGGTGGGGTACTAGGGACCAGATACCACTTCTATGAAAAAATGGTGGTGGTACCATCTCTAGTTTCCGAGATATGGTCCTCTAGTTTTTAGCCCTACTACATAATACTATACGAATAAACATCGGGCTCGAAGACATCGAAGTCCCCTACTCTGGGGTCTGAAATTTTGGGGGTGGGGCACTAGGGGCCAGATACCACTTCTATGAAAAAATGGCGATGGTACCATCTCTAGTTTCCGAGATATGGTCCTCTAGTTTTTAGCCCTACTATATAATACTATACAAATAAACATCGGGCTCGGGGACATCGAAGTCCCCTACTCTGGGGTCTGAAATTTTGGGGGTGGGGTACTACGGGCCAGATACCACTTCTATGAAAAAAATGGCGATGGTACCACCTCTAGTTTCCGAGATATGGTCCTCTAGTTTTTAGCCCTACTATATTATACTATACAAATAAACATCGGGCTCGATATTTTGAATACGTGTTCTTCAATCCTATAATTTATAAATAGCAGGCAAACCCTTCTTGTCATTCTTTTCTTAGGAAAACCCCCCTTTATTTTATACGAAACTATGTTTAGCTTCCACATGTTATACTTGTAAATAATTTATCGCATTGTCTCTGTATTTACATCAGAAATTGGAAAAAAAAAGAACTCGAGTTTATATTCCGATCATTTTGATTTTTATATTTAAGGTCTTCCGTCTTCACGGAAGACCTTATAGCGATTCTATTGTTAAGGTCTTCCGTTTCAGACGGAAGACCTTATAGTGATTCTACTGTTTCTTTTTATTATTATTATTATTTTTTTCCCCTTTTCTTGTAAATCGGATTTCTCAGAGATGGCTGGACGGATTTTCCTGAAATTTTCAGGGATGATAGAGAATGAAAATACGATCAGGCGTTTTTTTCATTTTTTCAAAATTCACTTCCGGTCGTCAGTTATGTCCGATTTCCGCTTTTTTCAAAAAGATTTTATCCGAGTCATATCTCAGAAACGGTAAGAGATTAAGAAACCAAACTTATATGAGTAATAGATCTTGATAAGTAGGCGAGCCCATTTGGGTTAAGATTGTCCGCCGTCACTTCCGGTCGTCACAGGAAGTGATAAAATAAATCGAAAATTTCAACTTTTCTTTAATGAAACTTTTTTTGCATCAGATTATAGCATCTTATTTGTAGATTCGAAATATATCAGTCCCACCGGAAACAAAAACGACAACTTCCGGTTATGAGAGAAAAACTGCATATAATCAGTATTTTTCGTTCCCATAAATATTTTTTATGGATAAAGTACTTGTAATGATTTTTGGATATGTTATTCAGACTGCAAATGACTACATTAACGTCAAATATCTTTGTAAAATTCCCTTCCGGTCGCGTGATTTCCTGTCCTCAAAATGGGAAGTTATCATAGCTAGATCTCGTAAACGGTAAGAGATTAAGACACCAAACTTAGAAAAATGGTAGATCATGATAAGTAGGCAAATTCAGTTGGGATAAGACCGTCAGCCGTCACTTCCGGTCGTCACAGGAAGTGATCTAAGAAATCCAAAATTTCAACTTTTCTTTAATGAAACTTTCTTTGCATCAGATTATAGCATCTAATTTGTAGATTCGAAATATATCAGTCCCACCGGAAACAAAAACGACAACTTCCGGTTATGAGAGAAAAACTGCATATAATCAGTATTTTTCGTTCCCATAAATATTTTTTACGGATAAAGTATTTGTAATGATTTTTGGATATGTTATTCAGACTGCAAATGACTACAGTAACGTCAAATATCTTTGTAAAATTCACTTCCGGTCGCGTGATTTCCTGTCCTCAAAATGGGAAGTTATCATAGCTAGATCTCGTAAACGGAAAGAGATTAAGACACCAAACTTAGAAAAGTGGTAGATCATGATAAGTAGGCAAATTCAGTTGGGATAAGACCGTCAGCCGTCACTTCCGGTCGTCACAGGAAGTGATTTAAGAAATCCAAAATTTCAACTTTTCTTTAATGAAACTTTTTTGCATCACATTATAGCATTTTATTTGTAGTTTCAAAATATATCAGTCTTACCGGAAACAACAACGACAACTTCCGGTTATAAGAGAAAAACTATATAATTTGAGTATTTTTCTTTCCCATAAATACTTTTGATAGATAAAGTATTTGTAATGATTTTTAGATATGTTATTCAGACTGCAAATGTCTATAGTACAGTCTAATATCTCAGTAAAATTCACTTCCGGTCGCGTGACTTTCTGTCCTCAAAATCAGAAGTTATCATAGCTAGATCTCGTTAACGGTAAGAGATTAAGACACCAAATTAATAGGGATGGTAGACTTTGATGAGTAGACACATCCTTTGAGTTTAAGATCGTCCGCCGTCCCTTCCGGTTGTCACAGGAAGTTATGAAATAAATCAAAATTTTAAACTGTTCTTTATGGAATTTTTCTTAGTATTACCTTATAGCATCTTACTTGTAGTTTCGAGATATGTAGTCCCACCGGAAACAATAACAATGACTTTCAATTATGAGAGAAAAACTGCCTAAATTGAGTATCGTACTATCCCATTAATATCTTTTATAAAAAAAAGTATTTGAAATGATTTGGGGACATTTTATTCAGACTGCAAATGTCTAGAGTAACCTCAAATATCTTCTTTTAAAATTTACTTTCTTCAGGTCACGTGATTTCTTGTCCTCAAAATGAGACCTTTGACCTTTACTCAAAAAGTAATAAAGAAATATTCATTACCTTTATCTAGATTCATCTTCAAGTGTTAATCTCAAGTTTACCTCTCTCTCTCTCTCTCTCTGATGACCTTGACCTTGATAAATGACCTTGACCTTTGACCCCATTGACCCAAAGGTCACAATCAAGCTTAAGTATGTGGAGGTATTAACAACTTTCATTTTAACAAATGCTTATAAAATACAACCCCCCCCCCCGCTCCTGTCCCTTAAAAAAAATCAATAGCAACATAAAAAAAAAAAACTTCTACCTCTGAAAAGACACCACACATTGACATAAGATTAAGGATTTGAATAGAAGACACCTTAAAGAAAGTGTCCTAAGAGTTTTACGGTGAGTCTCTTGAGTATAATGAAATTCTACGGATTATCGGCATTAACTGCATTTTTTTTCTGTCTGAAATTTAAATTCTGATGGGCATAAAATGAATTAAAGCTTGTATTGGCTATTTCTTCATTTGTTGTTAATATCATTCGATTCTCCTGCTCTAATACGACATTTTAATACCAAGTATTCTAGCTTTCTTTGGTATGTGGAATTTATTTCAATTTTATTTAGATTTAATATTAATTGAATGAATCTTGATTTCATTTGGAATTTGATTTTTTTTTCTAGAATAACACAATCTTATAAGAAATAGCGACTTTCAGCATAATAAAAAGTAATACACGTTTTTATCCTGTGTTCTCCATCTAGAAATACATGTTTGGAATTTTATTTATGCTACTTACAATGAATTTAATCCACACACATATTCCATACCTATTTCGGTCAGGAATGTTAAAATCCGAACCCGATTCTCTGTTTTCCTTTTCTATAATTACAAACTGCCTTGCATCTCTCGCTCATGTTTCTCACATGCTCTTAAATAATTTATCGCCATTCATTTCAAACATAAAACAACTCAAATCGGATATTTTTCAAACATCTCTTTAATACATGTATAATGCACATATGATGCAGGTACACATGGGACATTTCACAACGTTTTCACTTACGCTTCCGTCTTGATGCGCAGATCAAATGCATGTTATTCATATTATTAGGTATATCGTAATTTTAATCAGACCCTACCCCTTACATCTTAACTCGAAAACAATCTCATTCAACCTCATATATACACCTAGGAGCGTGTTACAATGTTTTGATCGTGCTCTCTTTGCGTGATCAATGAAATCATGGTTGTCCCCGAGTCGACTCGTATAATCCAGGAAGTCTGTTTAGA